CGACTAGATGTTGCGCGAAACGGACGCTGATCATCTGAACTAGTTATGTAAATGCCTTGGCATTCTTCGCGCGGTTTAACAGAGAGCGTCTCGCGAAACGCGCGCTCTCCTCTTTTGCTTTATTATCTCTAGAAATCTGAACTCGGCTAAACTGAATTTTTCTTTCGATTCTCTTTCTCGGATGCCGAGCAACTGCAAACAACAATTAGTTTCACAATTTTTTTTCCTTCGCAGCATTATCATATTCACCGATCGCAGAAGGAAAAGCGCGCGGATCTCGAGGTTAAATTCGCACGGAAACCGTACTCGGAGGTTAAAGAAGGTTGAATTTCGCGCAACGAACTTTCCACACCGCTGTCTGACCACCGTGCGCTTTTCCACGCTAACAACCATCAGCGGAGCAAACTCTTGGATATACATATTTAAACGAGTTTCGCGATAATGGCAAATGGCTCTTCTCTGGGAACGAGAACCGACGAACAATCGTTGTTTTTTTTTTTCCTTTTTCCTTTTTCTTTCTTTCTTTCTTTCTTCCTTTCTTTCCCCGTAACAATCGCTTCTCGCTATTGCAAGCGAATTTTCCATCAGGCGGAAAGGAATCGCAACGCGCATTTTTCACGAGTCCCTCGAGCGTGAACGCACATCCATATAAAGCCGCGCTAGATAGAATATTATTTCGCCCCTTTCGCGGCTCGTAAACGAGGTTGCCGCGAGAAATCGTAATAAACATCGAGCGCCGGCATTACCGTGGTAAAATACCTGGTTTTTCTATTAGTTTCCGCTCGTTGGTTGCAACAACTATGCACTGCCACTGCCCCTCCCTCGTATGCAACGAGCGAGCAATTATTTCTTTTAATCGTGCGAATTCATTGACTGAACTCATTGAAAGAATGGCTCGGCGAACCGATCTCCTCCGCGAGAGATAACGGCCTGCTTACTCTCTCCCTCCACATTCAACTCCAGTTCCACGCCGAACGTCCACCACGGCGTTTGCTCGAAATTTTTTCACTTCGCCGACGAGAGAGATTACGGTGTAGAAGCCCTGTTTTAAAAGTCGCGTGTACGAATGAGA